TTGTGATCCTCTAAGCCCTCAACCTCTGAGCCATCTCTTTAAACCCAAATGGATTTTCTTTTACTTTCATTTTCACATTTAAACCCTTACCTTTGCCTGCCCTGTAACTCCTGAATCAATCAGAATGTCCATTATGCAGATCTCCTATTTGTTCTCTGCCATACTCTTTATACCTTTCAGATAATAGATGTTCATTATGTATTGAAGCTACTGGATAGATATCTTTTGTACAGACTTCTTATTTTATTGTAGGACATGTAATCTACTAGTCATTTTTAAGGAGTCTGATAAAGACTTACAAAAATGATATTGTAACTATTTGAGTCAAAATGTCAAGAGGCATTTGCTTAGCATTTATTTTCTGCAGGCTTATAGGAAGAAACTTCAAGTGTTAATTATAGGATGATACTAACTTTCTTTTGGAAAGATACTATCTTTATTTTTAAGTACAATATGAGTTAGATATAGAAGTGCAGCAAATGAGAACTATTGCTTCTGCCTGTAAAAATCCTTTGACTGTGAGAATATTGAGGAACTTTATTTAGGAAGAAACCATATAATCTGAATCTGAATTTATGAAAAAGACTATATTTAAGGCACTTTTCTTTATTAGAACTATGCAAAAGAACAGAGAGCAAATTAGAGTTATCCTGTTTACAAACACAAACATATAGGCTCACATCTATCGTTAAGTACTTGCTCACACTATGCTCTAATTGTTGACATTATAATTGCATTCTGATTTGTGGCTCAAATAAGTTAGTATCTTACTAACTGCCAATTGCAGTAACACTGGATTATACTTAATGTAAAATCCAGCATTTGCCAAATTCAATCTCTGATTAATACTAATGCCAGTTGCACATTTTCAAAGTACAGTACACCTGCACACGCAGTCCTGATGACAGGAACCATGTATTTTTTTCATATCAGTAAGGTTTTTGTTTTCCAAAGATGGAACAGATGTTAACATATATTAACTCACAGTGTATGTATGTGGTACATGCCAGTGCTAAAACATTTTGAACAAACATCTTTGAAAACAATACAGGGAACACTTTTCTCTTTAAAAGAACTCAAAACCTATGGTTGAAGTCATTAACTACCATAGGTTGACCTATTATGAGAATTTAGGTTGGCTGTTCTTTTTATTATTTCTGTCTTGATTCTTACTGTCAGAGAGCTCAGGCAGAAAAAAGAGACATGTTTAGAAAATTATTAAATATATACTCTTTGTTTGATGAAATATTGATAAAGGGAGTGAAAATATATACCTTAGTTAAAATATTTATGTAGTACACACTCTGTTCTGATTTTCACCCTTCCCTCATTTTGTACTCACTGTGACATGAAGGCTGTTGTTATGTGTTCTGTTATAGGTAAGTAAACAGAGAAATCTCCTCTCTGATAAACATCAAATGGGCAATGCAAAGCCTGGTCTCTTGTCTCCACAGGGCTCCTTGTTTCACAGGCTGTTTCCAGAGAATGCTGTAAATATGTGGTAAGTTTCCACTAGAGAACTTATTGTCCAAACTGTTGGAATCTCAGCTGGCTAATAGCTAGCACCTTACGTTACTCAGGTTTCTGTTGCATTGACAAAACATCTGAGGAATACAGGTAAAAAAAAAAAAAAAGTTTGTTTGGATCACAGTTTTAGAAGACTAGATCCATCTTCCTATTGTCATACTGCTTTGGGTCTGAATCAGGACAATGGATTTTGTACTGAAGTTAGAGAGAACTAGCCAGGATTCTATTATCCCCTTCAAAGACAGCATCACTGCCCTAAATACTCACCAGAATCCAGAATCCCTCTCCCCCAACACTAATGTTTCCAACATATCCTGTCCTGGTTAGATATTATCGTCAACTCACCACAACCAAAGTCATTTGAAAAGAGGGAGTCTCAATTTAAGTATTGCCCGGACAAGACTGAGCCATGGCCATATCTGTGGGAAACTGTTTTGACTGATGATTGCTGCGGGAGGCTTCAGCTTGCTGTGCTGGGTGTCACACCTGGGCAGATGATTCTGGGTCTTAGAAAAAAGCTGTCTGAGAGTGAGCCAGAAGGAGCAGGCCAATTATGCTTCATTTCCTGCTTGAATCCTGCCCTTGTTTCCCTTAGTGGTTGATTGTGACTTGGAAGTATAAGATGAAGTTGCTTATCACAGAAACAAAATAGCAAACTCTCTCTCTCTTACCAACTGCAGGCTGGCAAGGGAGACCTCAACATACCAATTTTCAGGAGTATTTAAGACCTGAAAATAATAGTTATCTGCCACAGTCATGTGTTGTCATTCAGTAGCTGTTGGCATTTATATTGATATAATTCTTATAAATGTAAGAGATAAAGATCAACATTTCTGATAACCAGTATACATAAAGAAATGGAAAAAAATAAACAAATGAACAGTTAGCTAGAAAAGTCACCACAGTGCTGTTTCATATATCTAGTTACATAATTTGAAGGCAAATTCCATAGTTTACAGCAATTCTATTTTGTCTCAAAATCTCCAACTATAGGGAGCTGATAGAAGTGAATTGGTAAGGTAAATCTACCACTATGGACCACCCCCTCCTCAAAGAGCAAGTCAATTCAACACAGACCACTCTGGCTAATAGTCAAATAATTTATGGTTATTAATCTGTTTTGTTTTTATGTGGCACAGCTCTCTGCACTCAGCCAGCCTTAGAGGTTGAATTAGTTTTGAAGATCTGAAGCCATAATGGAGAGGCAGACGAATCACAGCCATTGACCAAATTATTCTTGCTATGGTGCAAATAAAGCCACTTGTATGTGGCTTGTCTATCTGTTGTCCATAGTTACTTTTGCACTGTAGCAACAATTTGGGCATTAGCAATATATTGTCTCCAGCCACAAAGGCGTGATATCATCGGGATCTTTACTGAGGCAGTGTGTTGACTATTGATTTACACTCTCACTCATAATTTTGGCATAGTCACTCATACTGAAAATAAGTGTATACACAAACACAGATATATAGGTGTGAATTTCAAAGTCTGGGGCATATCAAGCACACGGAGTCCTTCCTGTGCAACCAGGTACCATCACCATGAAAATATTCACTCATGTGTAATGGTGGAAGGTTCAGAGCTATGTTCTGTGCCTCTCGCCTTATATCCATTATATCTCAAGAATCCTGAACAGGGAAGAATAAAAAATGATTAATTAAAAATAACAAAACTTTCTTTAGGTGTACAGGTTTTAGTACGTTTATCCTATATTATATGTCTATGTGAGTGAGTATATACCGTGTGTGTCTTTCTGCTTCTGGAATAGCTCACGCAGTATGATCTTTTCCAGATCCCACCATTTACCTGCAAATTTCATGATTTCCTTGTTTTTTTAATGCTAAGTAGTATTCCATTGTGTAGATATACCACAATCGTGCATCCATTCCTCCACTGAGGGGCATCCGAGCTGTTTCCAGCTTCTGGCTATTACAAATAAGGATGCTACAAACATGGTTGAGCAAATGTCCTTATTGTGTACTTGAGCCTCTTTGGGGTATATGCCTAGGAGTGGTATAGCTGGATTTTGCGGAAGCACTATTCCTAATTGTCTGAGAAAACCCCAGACTGATTTCCAGAGTGGTTACACAAGTTTACATTCCCACCAGCAGTGGAGGAGGGATCCCCTTCCTCCACAAGCTCTCCAGCATGTGTTGTCTCTTGAGTTTTTGATCTTGGCCATTCTGATGGGTGTAAGGTGAAATCTTAGTGTCGTTTTGATTTGCATTTCCCTGATGGTTAGTGAGGTTGAGCATTTCTTATTATCTGTACACCTAAAGAAACTAATCAAGAGGGCCGACTCTTACTAATATGCTCAATTCCTATCCAGAAAGGCAAAAAGGATGGACATCAGAAGAAGAAAAGGGAACAAGTCAGGAGCCTGACACAGAGGACCCCTGAAAGGCTCTGCCCTGCAGAGTATCAATGCAGATGCTGAGACTTATGGGCAATCTTTTGGCAGGGTGCAGGGAATCTTATGAAAGAAGTGGGAAGCAGTAAGATCTGGAGAGGACAGGAACTCCACAAGGAGAGCAATAGAACCAAAAATTCTGAGCACAGAGGTATTTCCTGAGACTGATACTCCAACCAAGAGCTATGCATGGAAATAACCTAAGACCCCTACACAAATGTAGCCCATGGCAGTTCAATATCCAAGTGGGTTCCATTGTAATATGAACAGGGACTGTCTCTGACATGAACTGATTGGCCTGTTCTTTGATTACCTCCCCCTGAGGGGGAAGCAGCATTACCAGGCCACAGAAGAAGGCAATGCAGTCACTCCTGATGAGACCTAATTGACTAGGATCAGAAGGAAGGAAAAGAAGACCTCCCCTATCAGTGGACTTGGAAAGGGGCATTCATGTAGAGGGTGGAGGAAGGGAGGGATTGGGACAGGAGGAGGGAGGGAACCACAGGGGGAATACAAAGTAAATAAAGTGTAATTAATAAAGAATTTTAAAAAAATAATAACAAAACTAGCAGAACCCCAAGAAGGCAAAATTTTATGGATTTTACACTCCTTGTTTTGAATTTTGAGGTGAATGTAAGCGATGTTTTAATTGTATGAGTCAGATTTCTCCCAAAAAGCAGAATCAATGAGGGATATAAACTGAAGTTTATGATAAGGAATTGACTCTTACTATCATGGAGTCTATAAAGTCTCATGATCTGCCCCCTATAAGCTGAAATCTAGGAAGGCCTGGGATAGAATCTCCTCTCCAATCCTTTAAGAAACAATACAGACTTTGGTATAAACTCTTCTGTAAGAACAGATGGAAACTGATGTTTCAATTCTCCTCAACAGAGATAAAACCAAGACTGTCTTCCTCTTTCTTTCATTTTCCTACCTCAACAAATTGATGGTATCTACACATACAACAGAGGGCTATCTGCCTTGCCAAGTTTACCAATTCCAATGCTATTTTATGTTGGAAGCATCCATACACCATACCTAGAGATAATGTTTAATCACCACTCCTCACCCTTTTTGCTAAGATCAAGTATAGTGTTTGTTCTTGTCAGGTTACTATCTGACATAACCTCTAAGGATGGTACATTAAATGGAGTTTTGGAGCTTCGGAAGTGGTGGGCACTTGTTCTGTCTGTTCCACATGTACACCTAGTATGTAGTATCACCAAGAAAATCCAAACCTCAGGAGATAGTACTGGTTAAATAAATGAAAACAAAACAGAACCAAACAACCAACAAAAAGATGACTTAGACAGCTCTTAGGGCATTTTCTGCCTCAGGCAAGTTACTGACTAACACTTTCATCTAAGACATTCATTATCAGTTCTCACACAATTAAGGATGATTTGTTTCAGCTGTGACGTGTAGTCATCTTCTTTCTTGTCTCAGTATGATAACTGTACTTTGGAGACATAATTATTTAGCCAGTGTTGAGCATCATAGTCACTTGATACAATTGATTAACACGCTGTGATTTCATGTAACTCGTATCTCCCTTATGTTTGCTACTCATGTTTAATTAGATGACTAGATTTCTCATTGCATGCTGAATTAACATGTTTTATGTTAGTAAAAATAGATCATGAAAACACATTTAAAAATAAAATAAAACTAGCCTATTTAAATAACTTTTATTTATAAGTTACACTTAACAAAAAATTTGCATTTCTCTTTTCTATTTAACTGGTGAATTAAAACTGTGTAAACTATATTTTACAACAGATATAAAATAATTCTAGCACAGTTATATTGTGTTTACATTGAAATTTACATTTTTGATGAAAACATATTTATATCTAAAACCCTTTAAGTAAACTTACAATTTATTTTGAGTTATCTAATTAATTACTATAAATATTAAAATTTGGGATGTAGTAATGTTGCTGAAATGAACTTAAATTGGAAAATAATACATAATAATATTCCTAGTCTCACATCAACCATCTCATCACCATTCTTCTAAGAGTATAATATACAGATATAATAAATATTAATTAAATTTTGTTTTTTATTTTTAGACATTTATTTTTATTTTATATGTATTGGTGTTTGATAATGTGTACGGATTTCTCCTGGCATTCAGAAGAGGCATTCTGTATTTCCTAAAACTGGAGATACGGATGGTTCTAAGCCAAGATTTGGGTTCTGGGAACCAAACCCTCATTCTCTGGAAGATCAACTAAGGCTCTTAACTCCTGGGCCATCTCTCTAGCCCCTGAAGTTATGTGTACTTTTTATTTGGATGGTATATTTGCCAATCTTTGAGAATACAGGCACTCATCAGCTTGGGCTCACTTTGTTTCATGTCAGCAGATCATAACAGATCATAATAATAATAAAGAATTTTATTATTTTATTTTTATTAATTACAATTTATTCACTTTGATCCCAGCTGTAGCTTCCTCCCCAATCCCTTCCCAATCTCACCCTGCCTCCCTCTTCTTCTCCTATGCCTCCTCTCCAGTCCAGTGATATGGGAGGTCCTCCTCCCCTTCCATCTGACCCTAGTTTATCAGTTCTCATCAAGACTGGGTTCTTTGTCTTCCTCTGTGGACTGGTAAGGCTGCTCCCCCTTCAGGTGGAGGTGAGCAAAGAGGCAGCCCATGAATTCATGTCAGAGACAGTCCCTCCCTGTTTCTATTACTGGGGAACTCTCTTGAACACTGAGTTGCCATGGGCTAGTTCTGTGCAGGGGTTCAAAGTTATCTCAATGCATAGTCCTTGTTTGGAGTATCAGTCTCAGAAAAGACCCCTGTGCCCAGAATTTTTGGCTCTGTTGCTCTACTTGTGGAACTCCTGTTCCCTCCAGGTCTTTCTATTTCCCCCTTTTTTCGTAAGATTCTCTGCACTTGCAAAAAGTTTGGCTATGAATCTCAACATATGTTATGATACCCTACTGGGTAGATTCTTTCAGAATCCCTCTGTGATAGGCTCCTGTCCTGTTCACTGTTTTCTTCCTCTTCTGATATCCATCTTGTTTGCCTTTCTGAATGAAGATTGAGCATCTAGTGCTACTTCAAGATCCAGATTTACCACTGCTAGGCATATATCCAAAAGATGCTGTCAAAGCTGATGCTGAGCCTGATGGCCAACTGATGGGCAGAGTGAATGGAATTTTATGTAAGAAGTGGGAAATAGTAAGAACTGGAGGGGACGGGAACTCCACAAGGAGAGCAACAGAACAAGATAATTTGAACACAGGGAACTTCCCAGAGACTCATACTCCAACCAAGGACTATTCGTGGAGATAACCTAGAACCCCTGCACAGATGTAGCCCATGGCAGTTGAGTGTCCAAGTGGGTTACATAGTAATGGGAAGAGGGACTGCCTCTGACATAATCTGATTGGCCTGCTCATTGATCACCTCCCCCTGAGGGGGGAGCAGCCTTACCAGGCCACAGTAGAGGACAATGCAGCCACTTTTGATGAGAACTGATAGACTAAGATCAGAAAGGAGAGGAGAACCTCCCCTATCAGTGGACTTGGTGAGGGGCATGCATGCAGAAAGGGGAAGGAGGGTGGGATCAGGAGGGGAGGAGGGAGGGGCTTATGGGGGATACAAAATGAATAAAGTGTAATTAATAAAAAATTTTAAAAAAAAGATGCTCAAGTATACAACAAGGATTTTTGCTCAACCATGTTCATAGCAGCTTTATTTGTAATAGCCAGAATCTGGAAACAATCCAGAGGTCCCTCAGTTGAAGAATGGATACAGAAATTGTGGTATGTTTATACAATGGAATACTACTCTGCAATTAAAAACAAAGAAATCATGAAATTAGCAGGCAATGGTGGGATCTAGAAATGATTGTCGTGCATGAGGTATCCCAGAAGCAGAGAGACACCCATGGTACATACTCATAAGTGGATATCAAACATATAATATAAGATAATCATAATAAATTCTATACACCTAAGGAAGCTAATCAAGAAGGAGTACCCTGGTAAGATGCTCAAACTTCATTATCAGACTTTCTGAAATTCCTTTGTCAGTCATCATAAAAGTTAGGGAAGGGGCTATCTACAGGAATGGATAAAATTACCGCACCGCTCATTATTCTCAGCTGTTTGAGGCTTCCTTATATGAGTAACCTAACCTCTTGAGGTCTTATCTCTATGGAGTATTATCATCATACTCTTCATAAGATGACTGCTGCTAATACAAATGTTTATGAGAGTGGAGCAGGACTGGCTAAGGCTCATGCTATCTTCTTCCTGCTATGTCAACACATCCTTCAAACTTCAAGGAGAATGTGGTAAATTTGACTCATTCAGTGCTACACTTAAACCCAGTATATAGATGCTGAAACTGAGACTCAGAAGATTGTGCCCATTGAATAACACAGCGAATGATGGCTATTTGGCTCACATCCACTAACCATAAAGATAATAATGATACAAAGGATGCATAGACTTTGGAGTCAGAGTTCTGATTTAAGACCACCTCAACTAAAGACTAAATCAGATGACTTTGAAAATTTCAAACTCAGATTTCCAGTTTTATCATTTGTTGATTAATTTTTGTAAGAATTCTTCCTTTAATGTATCAGTATTGAAGCAGAATAAATTATCAAATATATATGTATATAATTTTTATGACTTTCAGCCTTATGACTCTCAATTAGACATATCTATTAAATTCAAACTAAACTTTTAATTTGTAGTTATCTTTCATTTTTTTCTTTTTCCTTTTTGTTTGTTTTCTTGAGACAGGGTTTCTCTGTGTTGATTGGCTGTCCTGAACTTGTTTTGTAGACCAGACTAGCCTCAAACTCAGAGATCCTTCTGTCTTTACCTCACCAAGTACTAAAATTGCAGGCATGTACCATCTGGGTCGAGCAGTAAATTTCTTTTAAGTGAGATGAAAATCCATGTACAGCACAATGACACTAACATAACAATATGTACAGCTTTGAATGAGTCAGAAAAATGAAACCTTGTGCAATAGGAATCATTTCTTTTCTCTACTCTCCATGGCCATAGTGGATACTGAAGTCATTTTGTGTTCTAAGTTTAAGGAAATAAAGTTTGAAATAAATGCCCTCAACCTACTTTATTTGGTACAGCAATTTATATCCACATAGGACATAGTTTTTAGTGGTAGCTTTTCTCATGGAACAGTTCAAACAGCCCTAGAGTAGAAGAATATCCCATGGACTTTTCTCGGCAGCTATGCCCTTTCATAAACTCATTTCCCTGCCATGTCTCCCACTTGCCTTTCTTCATTTTCTAAGGTTGGCCTTGCCTCAATATGACCTAGACTTACATTTACTGGATCTCACACTCACACAAAAGCATTCTGCATCTCTGTGTGCCAGGTTGGTAGCCAGATCTACATCATCCATTTAAACATATAAGCTAGAGTTTTCTGAGCCTTCTCTTGCTAGAGTAGCATTTTACACACCTGCACTTTTCCTTTAGTTTTTCAGACATACCTAGATTTTGCCAGCCCTGGCATTTTTCAGTAACAATATATTTTTCTGACAGTGCCATTGAAAGAAAGTAAAGCTTAACACCTTTCAACTCTGATATTGCCTTTGGCTCTCACACAGGCAGCTGTCATTATAGCTTCTATTTTGGGGTTTGGGGATGCACAGAGTTTGGAAGACTGTACTTTGCCAGAAATCAACACAAATCATATTCTGTCATTCTTCTGCCTGCTACCCAACAATAGTTTCTATCATGCTCATATTCTTTGGCTTATTTTAAATGCAGTAGCCTGCCTGAGTGGAACTCCTTGCTCCTTCAACATCTAATACCCATAGTCTCCTCTTTGTTCTATCCACAGTGACCCACAGTGACCCACGGTGACCCAGTTTTACTTCCACCCAGAATAGATTGCTGTTTCAAATTTTATGCTGTTTTCGGTCAAGAATGCTTCCCTGACTTCATGCAACTGCTCATGCATGTTTCTCAGCCTTTTATATAAACATCACATCCTTGAGAGAGTTTTGATGAATTCCTAACCTACCTTAAGTACAGAGATACTTAAGGAGTTATGTGTTGGTTGTTTCTTAATCTTGTTTTAGAAGTCATATTCCATGGCTATAACAAACTTCTAAATATGTTTTTTTTAAATTTTACATTCCAAAGGATAATAGGGTCTGATTTATTGTGAAAACACAGATTTTTAGTTGATCATTATTTTATTTCTACATCCAAAATTTCAATCAGTAATGTATTG